TACGCTTGTAGCCGCGCCAGTCTGTTACGCGTTCTTTACGTAAAAGTAATGAATAATATGACGGTCATGTCCGTGCGCCTGTTGGCCATGACGCAAAGTGACGACAAAACAGATTGACCCGCCTGACGGTTTCCTTCCGCCTGCAAAAGATACATGATCATTCCTCAGCCAGAAAACTGGATATCCTACAATACATTTACTGCTCCAGTTTACATTTTACAGAGTTACGGCGCTGTTTATAGACGTCGGAGTGCAATCTGCCCTTCACTCAAGCCGAGTGTCTTTGTTTATCGAACTTCTAAAAGAGCCAATCGGTAAAACGCAACCACACATTAAGCATATAAAGGAAGAAGGGAATATCTCACGAATTCCTTATCCCTTTGCACTTGACAAATCATGCATGGAATAGCGTTGCTGTTTCAAAAAAGTCGCTGCATGGAGAATCTATCAGGAAAAATTGTAGACTGTGGTTAAAACACTGTTGGATAGATATAAGTTATTTTTCCCAGGTGAAGATATTTCTTATATTGGTATTGACTCCGTGAAGTATCTGTAGGCTTCTTGGGCCCGATCGATTTTCTCAAAGCCAGTTTCTTCGGTAGGTCGTTATAGGTCAATGTACCAGAGACCCGAAACATTTTTACTTCGAAATCTTAATGAATTAAGATGTCTGTCTTCTGGGATGTTGCGCCGCGTAGTCTTGCAGGTGTCAGAGGTGTTGTCGGCCTCCTTCATCACGTTGATGACTTGTCTTAAATTCGTTGTTTACTTTATTTTATATAGCCTAAGCACGTTACGTCATTGTTCCTCTTTTAGTGATGGAAAGTTAAGTAGCTTCACTCTGCGAGCAACTCATTTATTTTCCAAGAAAGTGAGCCATAAAACATTGAAAAATGACCTCTTTCCACGCTGTCGAATTTTACGGTGTTCCTGGAACCTTCGCGCACAGTTTCTCTTTGTGTGTCGTCAGCGTCGGTTTATTCCCATCTGATGCAGGTTGTTCAGTTGTAAATGAACAGGTTGCGATCCACAGTTCACTCTTACGAAGATCGACTGGTTAACGCTGTCTAAGGGAATAGTCGCTGTTTGTTCGGAGAATTATACGAAACTCATCAATACAACATGCAGAGAAATTAATTGTTGAAGCTTATGGTATTTATAGTTACCATTAGGCTTTAAAGGGTTAAAAATAGCTATTCGTAATGTAACATAAACATGTCTTCTTAATAGTAGAATTTAAATATTTACTTCCAAAAAATTTCAGATTTCCAAATAATTGGCAGTGACAACTTCTGATGCGAATTGGTAACAGTAACCTTGAAGATGGCTTTGTTATGAGTTGCAGCGCCTTGTAGTCTGCTAAAAGTTTACCAACACAGCTATAAATCCCCGAAGACCGCCATCTTCGTACTTCCCGCCGTCAGAACCTCAAATCTTTAGCCTTAGCACTTGGATTGCATGCCAGAGGTACCGGGTTGCAATTAGCCGGATTACCGGCTGTCCGATAGACATTTATCGTGTCTCAGTTCTCTCAACGTGGGGGCCGGGTGGTACCTTAAAACAGCATGTGCAGTTACCATCGACAAGCTGGAAAGAATATGTCTTCGTTTGATTATTTCGTAATTTAATGTTTTTATTGGTGATAAGCAAGAAATAATCAATTAAAATACGTGTGTATATGCTGCGTACGATAGAATCCTATTTATGAATATGCATATGTATGATAAAAGACCTGGTACTCCATCATGCTTCTAGATGACTGAATGTTCTATTATAGAAGTACTGCCACAGTTAGATGGCTATTAGAAGTGATTCTAAAGGAGATAAAAGTAAGAAAAGTATGCATTTTTGCGTTGAATTTCGATGGAATTTTTATACAAGTCATTTTGTAATTTTTAAATAAGCGAGATGGGATTTCTGATTGGCCGGCTGCTCAGTGGGCGACCGGATCTCAATTTCTGGCAGGTGCAGAGAGATTTCTCTGTCACTGTGCCCAGATCCACACAGCTTCCTGTCCAGTGACCACCGGGAGCTCTTTCCTTCAGAGTTAAGGTCAGAACTTGAAGCTGGTCACTCAAATCAAGATACATGTCATTCCTGGAATCGAAGGAAACGTCGAATAAGCTCAGAATGATTAGTTTTAAACCGCGAACCATGAGTCTGAAATTTATGCTACGTAAGAAAGACAAGATGGATAATTTATCATGTCTCCCCTCCCCATCTGTCCGTTTGTCTGACCCTCGAATGAAAAAGTGAACCAGATCTGAACTTCGCCAGTGAAATTTGTTTTTAATTTTCATTATAATGTCTCAATTAACATTTCTTGTGATACTTATTTTAAATACAAATATATGTGGGGCTTGTGGCCGCTGTTCGTCAAAGCTCCCGCTGTTCGTTTATTCTCTTGTTCTTCTTTGAAGAGAATCGGTCTACGAATGTAACCACGGTGACTGCGAAGAACGTGGCAATCGCCTGGAATTTTAAATAGAAGCTTCTGAGTTGGGCCTGTAAGGAAAGTTCTTGATTTGTGTCTGTGAATATAGACGCATGAGGTTGGTTTTTGTTCTCAAGAAATGTCTCGATTGTGCTGCTGCACTGTATTAAGTATGTGGACAGTTTTTGTAGCTCAAGAACCACTTTAATTGCTTAATGATAAATTTTGTATTGATGAAGTAATTAAATATATGGAGATTGAGCCGAGCGTGCATTAAAGAAATGTTGAGTTTATACGAAAGTCAAGCTCCAAAACCTTATGCAAAACATACACACGTGCGCCCATCAGTCGAAGGTATAGATACAGCTTAAGGGTCCAATGTCCTTGGCTGTGAGAATATGACCCGCTTTCATGGAACGCAAAGGTTCATTACTTTGTTCAGAAAAGCCCTGTTTGACTGTATTCTGAGCCATTTCATTCCTGTGCATGCCTTCTCGTCCTATTTCTAGGGATTGTTTTAATACTACATTTTCATGTCAGGATAATTTCTAGTTGTGTGCAATTTTGTGAAGATGGTAACGAACCTTCGGTTACCATCAAGGGGAATGTATTGACCAGATGAAGGGAAACTTTTTAATGAATAAATAGGCCTATCATACGTGCACCACTCATTAGTTAGATAATATTTGAGTGATGTGAAAGTAGAAGTTCCGAATCTGTGAACGTGATTGATCTGTTGAAGTAATTGTTAAAATATTGATATGGGCCGGACAAGTAGAACAGACGAAAAACGAGATTTGCATTTTGTTTTCAGGATGGGAAAATTCCAACAAAGAATATCAGAATAAACCGCAAGGATAAATGAATCTTGGAGAAGTCGATAGTATATATATATATATAAATCCGACATATATTTTATCTTTGTGTACGAACTGTATGTCCAGCCCATCGAGAACTCCTAAGCTACACCACTCTGTCCAAAGTAGGTTGTGGGGTATGGGGCAGTTTTAATTAGTCGCCTTTCATTTCTAAGCAGAATATCAGACCTAATTCACGTAACGTTTATCCTTCATTCAGACATACTTTACTGTAACAGGTCAATTGATATGTACGTCATGATTCCAGTGGTCCTTAGAAAAAACTTTTGCAGACGGAAGGAGAGGTAGCTATGTTGTAAGATTGAGACATTCTCACACTGATTGATACGGAAATTTATGTTCAACTGTCAGACTGGTATGGCATAAACCATACACACGTCAGTCAGTCCCACAAAAACGCTATCCGGCTCGGTGGAATTAAATAGAGCGCATTACAAACGAATCGGCGATATTTAACATGCTCGTCGGCACTGACTAACATAACATAACATATTGGGAGGCAATCCTTGTGGGATTGTCTTCTCTTTGTTTCGATACCACGGGAATCTTCATTTGCCACCGCTTTGTTTTAACGTATTTCCTAAGTAACTCACCAATAAAGTATCCAGTAGGCTGTCTGATTAATTGGCAGAGTAACTAATTGAATAACATGCCAGGTTCTCACCGCGGCTATTATGAAGATGTCTTCTGGGATGTAGCGCCGTATAGTCTCGTAGAAATTGACCGACGTTTCAGTGGTGCTTTGAAGGAAAACTTACTTTATATACTACAAACCAAAGATATCACCGACATGGGAACTGAGACAGCGACCTCCAAATACTTCCACTTGGGAATAATGTTTGTCGTGTGGACTGTATACGTTTCTTCATCTGTTACCATTCCCACCCACTTATCCCGTTGCCTTTTATTTCTATCGGAATTCGCAGATTTATCCTGGACTCAGCCGCAAGTCTAGACCGGCTGTGAGGCCCAATAGCGCCACACTCCAGAGGTGCCGAGGTAATGCGGCCGGAGCGTGTAATTGACAACCCACTTCAACTACAGGCGAGTCCATCAGGAACATGTCTAGACCGGTTGGGGGATCCTCCCAACTCTATCTATTATCTAGCGGCTACTGAGGGCTCTTTTACCCAGGGTAGAGTAGCTGGAGCTTCAAGCTACTGTTTGCCAAGAATGTGTTGAGCCTTCATTGTGTTGCAAGGATAAGTAGAAGGCCTGTAATCGAACGTTGTCCATCATAGTAGGTAGCTTTAACCGCTCTAACTTCGAAGCAAGCTGAAGCTGTTCCCAAAAATCGCTGCTAATTTAATTTTATATTCATTTCTACACGATGTAATTAACCAGATAAAGAAAGCAGGCGGTTTAGCGCGCGATGCAGCGTGCTTTGTCTCCCAGCTTGTCTTCACTCTCCTCCGGCAGATCTCCCGCAACGACGCCACCAATTAGCTTAAAATAATGAACATGTTTTTTTTGTTTTTGTTTTTTGTTTGTTTGTTTTGCTGCTTCATCGGGACAATGCCGCAACCATGTTACCTCGGGCTGTCCCGTTGAATATATCCTCCTCCGCCTTGCTGGGTAGATTAGCTTGTTGCTTTGTTTGCATAAGTAGATGCTGCTTTGGGTCATGGGTATGGGGAGATTCATCCAATGGATAAAAAGGAAATATCTTTTTTTGTATGTTTGTTTAGATGTTTCGGAGTATGTTCGATGATTCCCTCCAGATAAACCCGACGGAGAATTCAAGCAAAGACACGCTTTGTTCTCTCTTTATATGGAGATGTTCCTGCAGAGGTTCCGGGCTTTTGATGAAGAGAGGATGAGAAGAGGATGTGTCCCGGGAACAGAATCATATTCATGACAAAACTAACATCAGATTAATTTTGAGAATGCTTGCTACAGTTCAAAATCTATCTTCTTTTTATCTGTAAATCTAAAAGATTAGAATATTCAGTGCTGTAAAGTTAGATCTACCTCTTGTTTTGTAAATGGACGTGAAGCTTGGTATCTCGCCGTAAGGGAAGAAAATAATAGACTGAGGGTTTTTGAGACCAGGGTGCTAAGGAGATTATTTGGACTTAACAGGGAGGAAATTTCTGTTCTTCAGCAAATTGTTGCACTAATCGAATGGTGGGGTTTGGGGATTTGTAGCTTGTTTGGGACAAGTGAGAAATGCGTACAAGATTTTACCCCGGTAACACGAACCTTCGGAGACTTGGAAGTAGATGGGATATATCTGCGATCGCCAGTCTTTTTGGTGCATCCTGTGAATCGAAACAAAATGTAAATTAAATTAATGATATTACGATTCACACAAAATACAATGAAGCTGTTATACTTCCACATCAATCCCTTTACGTTGCCAGACGTTAAGTGTTATTTTTTTCTGTCTAGAATTTGGTGCGCCCTGTTGGAAGTGTTCTGGCGTTTTAGCTGACTTTATTCTTTTTTATTTTGAATGTTTTAACAAACGGAGTCACTGACGTGCCTCGTAATTCGGAAGCTGGAACCAGCTTCTTGTACTCGAGGCATTTATCTCTGTCCGTTTGTATTCATAACTCTGTCTGCTTCTCTCCATCATACTCGACCCGAGCTCCCACTGTGGTCCCTATCTGATGCAGTTCCACGCAGCTAATTCCAGGATATGCCTAGTGACGTAATTCAAACGAAAAAATACTCTTCTAATGAATATACATGAATGATGCTCGCTTACGGCATCGGTTTCAAACAAAAGCAATGGAAAATACAGAACGGTATCTTTTCCAAATACGTTACTTCACTGTTTTGAATTTCTCATTAATCTTGAAGCTAATTCATTGCCGATACAAATCTGTTCTTCCAGACCCCATAATACTAAACATTCACTGCGTAATCATTGATTTGTTTGCTTATATTTTATAAACGGGCTATGATGATATACATAATGTGTTTAGAGAGAACATACTGCTAGTTGAGTAAGAATTAACGTGAAATAAACCGACCCATCTACTCGATATGAAGAGCTCAAGTGTTCCCATATGGGCAACAGTTTAACCCCCCCCCCGCGGCCGCAGTCATTAAAATGCATGTTGGGTAATGTGAGGAGCCGGTTGTAGCGCAGTCCATTGATAGGTAATTAAATACCGTGGCCTTGGCAATGCTAATGAGCACAGTTACAGAGTCATAAATTGTTTGTCCGTGACACGTCGCTTGCCGACAGGGCACAGGGTAAGAGCCGGGGATGAAGTCAAGGTTAGTCCGGAATTAGGGGCGCAGCAGCTAAAGTGAGTTCTGTAGGAACTCGGTTTGTTTCCCCGCCGAGATACTTTCTGTTGGCTGCTTATTGGTGACTGATGGACAGCTGTTTTTGTTCTTCGACTTCCATGGAGCTGTTTGGAAATGATCTTATCAGACGACTCTTCTAGTGAGGTATCTGGTTTCTATGGTGGCGATTATGGAACTTAGGTAAACATACCAAACAACACGGCCCGACACAAGGCACTCGTCTTTGATTCTTACTTCTGCATATTTGGGAGGCCGAAGACCGGTTACCCTGACTGAGGTATTTTCGTGATTTTCCTCAGCACATCTACTTTCAAGCAAATACTAGTACAGTCCCTAAAGATAGACCACCTTCAATTCCTTCTTTTGTGTTGAACGGGAAGTTTTTTGCGTTTTCTAACCCAACGAAACCATAAATTCAGAAGTTTGCTGTCAGCAATTGGGCTGAGTAAACGAATGCCTTTAAGAAAAATGTCCACCAGGACTACGCCTGTCCCCATGTCAGTTCAGTGACGCAGAAAAAAGTAAAAGAACAGAATTGAGAAATTTTGGACCTGCCGCCTTATTTACCAGACTTGGCACCATCCGATTATCATTTATTCAGATTACTGCAATACCATTTAAATAACAAGACATTTGAAAGATTCGAAGAGGTCAACGGTGAAATCTTGTAGCATAGTTTGAATCAAAACCGATAAGTTTTTACAACGCCGGAATTGAAAAGCTTGTGACACTTTGGGAGACGGTAATAACAAGCAGTGGAAATTATATAATTGATTAAATATTGTAAATATATTTTGCAAAAAAAAAAATTATTGTGACTTTTCATTTGAAAAACGCGAAAACTTTCCGTTCAACCCAATACATTCTCTCAGTTCAACATTCACAAACCTTCCTACCCTTAAACGCTGTATAACATGTATAGTTGAAAAGGATAAATAGTTAATTTTGTAGAAATAAAACAAGAACAAATAACATAGTTGTTAAATATTCCCAAAGTCGATCAGTCAAAGTGAAATATGATCATTGAGCCTCGCGATAAATCTTTTGCGGTTAAAAATGGCTGTACCCTGTCGTAAATTACTTGAATTCACTTCAAGTTGAATACAATCCACACCCGGGCACAGTATTTCCTTAATATTTGCCTTAATACTATCTTCCCGTCTACTCCTGTCTCTAAAATGACCTATTCTCTTGAAGTTATTCCAATAAAATTTTGCATTTGTTTTTCCTTTCTCCCGTGAATGCTGCATCCATCACAATGACATTTTTCAAATAGTACGTGTTAATGAATCTGATTTCTGTTGCTTCCTCTTAAAGTTGCCTTTCACAGGATATGAAACCGGGTTGTCTGTGATCAGACGTGCCTTAAATGCCAAGGCTATGATGAATGCTTGTAGCATCTGTTCCCCCTCGACCCTAGTTTTTCTCTTGAAGAATAATAGCTTAGTTGTATTGGGGCTAAAGCAAAATTGATATTTTAGTTGTGTTATAAATATATAAGTATTTTATATGTCTTGTTATCTTGCTCAAGTAATTGGACTGAACTTCTACCATCCAAGTTTTATTAGGAACTGACTGTACACTTACGACAGACAACTTTCAGAACCTAATTTCAAACTCAATTTAAAACTGTTAATAAGATAGTCGTTGCTTTATCTGATTTGTATACCTTACAGCACAGCACAACACGCTTTTATGCGGTCCAGCATTTCTTTGAAGCTCTCAGCCCGTGTAGAGTGTGTGGAGATCATGGCTGAGCTAAATGTGACGCTCACTTTATTTAGGCTCATTGCGCATAAATTGCATCCCTATTCAATAATTGTTTCTGTCAGAATACTTCATCTCCGAAACGTTTTAACAGATTTCCATAAAATAAAACCTGCACATTGTGGCTCTACACCAAATATCGTGTGTGGAAATCGTATATTCAGCTCGTAATTACACGTATATCAAATGGAACGTTTGTCATTTAAGAGTGCATGGTAAAAACATTTGATTCATGGCGTAAAACATGGTCTAAGATTTCACGGGTCCTTATGTGACGGTAATAGTGTGTAAGTGGCAAATGGATAGTAACCCGCTGCTAGACTTATGTTCAGCTTCTGAGTCTGCTCCTTGGAGTTAGTAAACCGGTTAATTTCTGACAATTCTGAATAATAACCTAATGTCGTGGCTCATTACTCTTGGTATTAGGAAGGTACCAGGTTCAATTCTTTGTTCGGAAATCGCTTTGTACGTTTGCATAGTTACGAGCCTTCACCAAGGTATATCTTTTAGTCTACGTTAAGTAATAAGCTGCTCGTGGTACAGCCAGTCCTCGCCTTGCGAAGATTCACATTAAGAAATTTCGCTCATACGAGCTTTTACCCTCTGCTTGGCTCATCATCCGAACTCGATTTTGTTCATTCGAAATCTTCCGAACAAAATCGACGCCTTAGAATCACTTAACCCACGAGAAAAGAAGATGAAGGCAAGAAAACTGTTTGTTTTCCCATCGTTTACAGGACGTACTTCTGTTTCTGTACCATATGTGGTAATCTAATATATTTCAGGCAATGAAATTATCGTTTTCGGTCATTCGAGAACTTAACCCACAATTATAACATCGCGTTTATGGGAAATAGCGACTCACTTTACGAACTGTCTCCAGGAACGTAAATATTTTGTAAGAACTGGGACTTAGTGTACTTGAAATACGAACGTCATTGTTTAATTTCTAATAGGCCGGAAAGTTATGGTAAATGGTGTAATATAAACACTAAATATATTGCAGCAGTTTTCAGCTCACTACTATATATATTTCTGGTTTAACATTGTTTATACATTTTTCCGGTACCCAAGGTTATAATCTCTTGGATTTTTTAGCATTTTTTTTTCCCGATGAATGGGGAGTTGGCCTATTGCATCCACCCCCAACCTGGAGGACCGGGTAATTTTTTTCAAGGTTTTATTCCTTTAGCCTTTGATAATTCAATATCTCACTACAAGACAGTAGTTGCTACTTTTGGTCCGCCTCGGGTATTTGATTTCCCCGGATAGGTCTAAATGTTAAAAAAAACTTATATAAGTTCTGTAGAGTAATTTTCATACTTGTGGTTTTATATGAATCCGCATGTTGCACCTTAAGTAAGTAAAAGAAATGGTAAGAATAGACACGACAGAAATGCTCCCATTTAGCGGTAGTCGGGCGTAGAAAGTAACGAAGCTGTTAGTGAGAAACTGAGAATATAAGATTTCAGTACTGTAAAGAATGCCTGACAAATAATTCCTAAGGTGCTGTACCAATACAAAGTGGAAGGCAGAAGGTTGTTTGAACGTCCAGATTTCGGTCTGTCGTTACAGAACCATGTGAAGGAAGTTACTCCGAAACGTCGACAGTTGTTAATATCCCTCACGGATTTCCGTGAAATCTCGTCGACTCCTTCTTAGTCATTTTAACTGTAACACACCAAGAGCTTGCAGTACTGTTTGTGTTTCGTTGGAAACAGAACTCGTAATTGGATTCGAGAAAATCCCTTCTTCATCTCTGTTCGACATCCTAATTGGGTAATTTCGACCACTTAAATCGATGTGTTTGGTTAAAAATGCATTTGAAAATTATTTCAAGGCAACTGTTATGGACCATAATGAGCAGCTTCATCTCACAAACATTTGTCGGGTGATTACATCAAGAAGAATGTGATTAACGGGCTAAATGAGGAATGCAAATGACCTTTTAGTCTGGAAAAGAGAAAGGAAGAATAAGGCCATTTGAGAAACAGCCATTGTAGCTATGGCAGGAAAATATAAAATGGATCTTCAGGAAATAGATTGTGCATGTCCTCTGCATTGATTGATTGATTGATTTGTTCAAAGCTGTATATGGTATTTAGGTAGATACATTGCGGGTTTTTACATAACGAACTGGTCACATCGTAGCTCAGGCGGTTAATCGCCGGATTCGCCCAGGATAGTCTGTGTGGGTTTTGTAGTGGGAAGGTGACAGAGGAACAAGGTTTTCTCATAGTTTTGTCGTCCCCATGTTAGGATCAAACCACCGCTGCTACATGTTCACCCACAGTATATCGTCTGGGGGCCAGAAATAGTCCGTTAGAGGCCCAAAGTGTGAGTCCATCGAAACAATATTAATGCAAAGCGAACTGGCTGCAGGTTACAAGAGCACGTTCTGTTCCAGACGGAGACAGGAATGTTCTTTGCCAAAGCTGTTTGCAGAGTTATGTGAACAATGCTTACGTGTGTTGAGCGTTTGATTTCCAAGGACTGTAGTATCGGGGGGGGGGGGGGGGGGGGGAACCGCTCTTGTGTCCAGGGTCTGGCTGAAGAATATACCAGCCAAAGATATGTATCACCAGTTGTATTTCTAATTTCTATACCTGCCCATACCCGGCTGATGCATGGGTGTTTACTTTATAATATGTAATACAACATCTTTTACTAATTGGCTTAAAGAAAACCATGATCACAGTAGACGTGATAAATCATCACGAAACCAGTGATAACAGTTGCTGCTCTAGAGAAGTATAAATTAATAATTTTAAAGCGTTCTGATCGCGATCGAGGTGTGGAGAGCTTATTGTTTACGTAATTGTTTTGCCGTGTTTTTATTATATTTTGTCAGATGATTTTTGTTACGTTGTCGCCTTCTGAAATAAATGACGAGTGCTTAAAATACAAAACGACTGTTTAAGAATAAGGAAACCCCAGTCATTATCTTTGCATCCACTTTATTTTTTATTTGTAGTGTTCTGTCTGACGACAGGTCCATATGAACAGGATCCTTCCATCCTTTTCTCGG